GTCGCGCAGGGCAGGGGCGGGGGCGGGGGGGCGTGGCGGCTGGTGAAAGGATGGCACAGCCGCGAGACCATGGCGATCCTCCGGTATTTATGAATGAACCGAGTAGGAAAATGGGCTTCTTCTGTAATGGCGTTGCGCAACAATATGCGGACCGACGGCAAACAGGGCTCTCCTGCCTCCCCCATCCATCCATCCATCCATCCATCCATCCATCCAGCCCGGTCCACAACCAAGGCGGGGATGTACGTCAACGTCAGACTATACACCAACAATGACGCCGGCGTGACGCATAAATCCCCGCTGTCTGTCCGCGTAATCTTTCATTTTCGTCCGTGTCCTCCGCTCCTCTTCTTCATCCGTGATGTTTGTTCGTGTGTGTGTGTGTGTGTGTGTGTGTGTGTGTGTGTGTGTGTGTGTGTTTCTCTTTGACCGGAGAAGGAAGAGAATCTGACAAGACAGAGAGGATGCTGGGAACCATTTAGGCCTTGTTTGTGCGTGTGTGTGTGTGACTCAACTTCCTGTATGCAGTGAACACTGCCAGTCATGGGTGTGTGTGTGTGTGATTGTGTGTGTGTGTGTGTGTGTGTAGGTTGGAGGATTCAGAGAGGAGAGATATATGACAGTAAATCCAGAGATTAAGCTTTGCAGCAGAGAGAAGCTGCAGGCTGTATGAAAATGTACATGTGGAGACAAGAGACAGGAGTCAAGAGACAGGAGTCAGGGGACAGGAGACAGGAGACAGGAGTGGAGGTTCCTCAGGATGAACACGTGATTCTGCTGCACCCAGTCACAGGGAACACACAGGCAACAGAAAACATGGGAGAAAAGGGAAAGGTGTAGATGTTGGAGGAAACCCGTGTGGTGATGAGGTCGAGGGAACGTGCCGACAGTTGGTGCGTGGTTGACTTCACATCATGTTGATGAACACTGCAGCTCAATAGTTAGCAGAAAAATCAAGTCAAGCTGAAATCCATGTTCCTCAACAGAGCGAGCCTCAGAGAGAGGACCATCAATGGTCCGTCCGTGGACTACATTTACAAACTATCGCTGCCATTGGAGTTTTTGTCACAGTATAACTTCATGTTGACAGGAAGCTCAATATTTTCTTGATTATTTTATGTTTTTAATTTTTTGGATCATGTCAATTCAGAGTGGCTCTTTGGTCCAGAGGTGGTGTCTCTGTCATTGGTGTGGAACTCCAGGGTTCACCTCCTGGGTGAAGATCAAATCCTGGTTAGGGTTGTTGGTACGGTGCAGTGTGATTTGGGTGGCGGTCATAGAGACTGCTGCCCCCGTGACCCGGTAACGGATAAGTGGATGGAAATAGATGGATGGATGTTAATTCAGAAATTACAATCCCATTTAGAAGAACATGAACATTTAGAAGCATGACTGGAGATGGAATATGCTATACATCATGTGTATCATACGCAGAATCTTCTAATAGGTTTTTTTTAAAATAAACAATCTGTTAACTTCATTGTACACAGTGAATTTCATGTAATAACCCTTTATCTGTGTTCAGTGTCCCACCGTCTTTAACGCAACAGGGTCTTAGCGTCCTCTGTTGGACACTGATTGACAAGACACTTCAGTCTCATTCATTATTCAGACCCATTTCCTCGTCTCAGATGGTGGTTTTACTTAAAACAATGAGATTTCAGTCTCCTCTAAATGCAGCCCATGAAGTGGGCTGCAGCCCGGGAAGTCAAGTGCACTGTCTTTGTGGAGCACCTCAGGGTTATATATAGCTCCATACTGTATAGTGTCTGCTTTAATACTGGAACAGATCAATGCTAAAGTCTTTTGGTTGTTCCGACAGCATCAGCTCCTCACAGTCGTCATTACACGTGGCACGAGGCCTGGCAGTGGTGACCTCCGAGTTCCCACGCTGTTACCCGAGTGCTGTGTGTTTTATGTAAAAGAAAACATGAGGTGGAACATTTCCTGCGGTTAAAAAAGTCAAAATGTCTAGTGCAGGATTCCCATGATGCCGTCTTCTAACCATCTGCCTGCTTATCAAACCTGGATCAGACGGTATTAGAAAAGAAAACAAAAGCAATGCCTCGCTGATGGTGGAAGGAAAGCAATGGAGATGATCCAGAACTACCAACCCTTTCACCATCTGTCACTGCGTCCGTCTTCTGCAGCGGCTCTGAACGGTCCCACCGTCCAGTCAGGGCCTTCGTAGCCGCTCCGATTAAGCTTTCTTGACAAATAAATCACTGTGTCTTTATCATTAATCCTGAGCTCTGCTGTGGTCCAGTGCTGTGGTCCTATTACCCAGGTGCCCCGGTGTCCCGACCAGATTGTCAGGCTGAGGTATTAGTGGGTTCTTATGGAGAGACCAGACGGAGAAACGCTGGCGTTCATCAGGTCAACTTCTCACTCTCTGCTAATTCACACTCAAAGTCTAACCACGTGTCACTGTTACACTCGTGTGTGTGTTAAACTGCTGGAGTCACATGCCCCCTATGTTGGATTACACCCCAGGTTTTCCTGTTTGACACAAAAAAAGATGTCTAATAATAGTAACAACTGAATGAGTTTGTTTTTGCAGATAGATTAACTTTAACTTTATCTATTGACTGATGAAACGATGGTCGTAGATTTTTACTGCTGCTGAACAAACTAGTTAGTTCCAGACTCCAGGTTTTTCAACATATAAAGACTGGTCACACTACACCTCTATGTTCAAGTGTATCACTACAAACAAACTTCACCAGGGTCGACTGTCGATGCGAGAAGTTGTGTGTTCTTTGGCAGTACTCTGTAATCAGAGATGGGAAGAAAAATTAAATAAAAATAACAGTTAAGTTAATGTCAGGTAATTTAGGTTAGTTGGAAGAAAAATATAATCAATTATATCATCATCATTAACTGTGAACTGTGAAAAAAATAAAATAAAGTATTTACATTTAAACATGTGAAATATGTTTATACTGTATATATGTAAATATATATATATTTGAATTAAGACGTAATTGTCTAACAATATAATTTATGAAAAAAGTTAGACCAAAAATTCCAGCTCATGTCATATTTATTATATTTATTCAAAAATCACCCAAAATAATAATAAAAAAATGTCATATTTATTATATGTATTCAAAAACCACCCAAAATAAAAATAAAATAATAATAAAAGGTAACCTTTAGTTGTGAAGTTAAAACAGCAACATAACGTGTAACAATGAAACAATGGTGAAGGAACAAAAACTGTTGCAAATGTTACTGATAGAAATAACATTGTTGCTACTAACAATAGTGTTATTTATTTAGAAAATGTGTACTGTGTGTATTAAAAAAATTAATATTAGAATATATTTATATATTTAC